CACAATGGGGTGCAGAGGGGTGGTGACTAGCAGCTCCCTAGCAGAGAGAGATCCCGTCGTTATTTAAAGAGATGCTGGAGGGGGTTTAGATCCACAGGGAAGGCTTCTGGGGTTCAGCGGTGTGTTTTTCCTGCCTGCTGCTGAAAGAAGTGTTTCTAAGGTTCAGCTTTGGTGGTGTAAAATCCATTCTTCCCCACCAGAGGAGGGTGTTCCAGGGTGGAGAGTGGTTGAAGTCTCCTTTGTGACACTGCAGCTGCAATGAACATCTTCCTAAAAAAAGCCTCGGAGAGGGATTACCTTTGTTTTGCTTTGGAGTGATATCCACTTCCAAACGCATTAGAAAAAAAATGAACAGACACAACCCTCTCTTCCAGTCCTCATCAGGCCGAGTTGCCGTATTTAGAGCGGTGTTTGTATGATCGATGCTCTGCCCAGCTGGTAACAGCAACCATTAAAAGGTTAACAGCTTGTGTTTTTATGGCAAAGCCTTGGAGAAGAGCTTTCCTCTAAGAGAAACGATCGCTTTAGAGAATGTAGAATGAAGTAAAAAGATAGGAAGTGAGCTCTAAATGAAAGCACTTGTGCTGGAGAAAATGGAAATAGCTTTATAAAGCACTTGCCTATCTTCCAGAATGATCAGGTACATGGGGGGGGAGTGTCTTTGGTTCTATGCAAACTAAAATTAGTGTGTGTCTTCTAGTAAAGTGGATGTGCAATGGCTAAATTGCAATCCAGAAATCATTCCTCTGTTACTCGCCAGAGCTGGAAGAGTAGCTTGTCCTACCCGAATGCTTTAGTCATAGGCTACAGGCTAATCCGAAGTTGTTAGAGTCTGGTTTAAGCAGCAAGGTACAAAGATTTTGCTACTCCAGAGCCTTATCGAGGTGCAGTGAGCTGGAGTTTGAACAGCCTAAAATGCAGTAAGTTGGCAGCTATTTTTTCCTTAATCAACAGAAATCAGTTAATGGCTCAAACATCTTAAAATATAATTGAAATCAGCTGGTACATCCAGGTTTTGTAGATCCTTCTTTTTGGTGCTTTGTTGGATGGACAACGGCTTTGAATGTGCAGGTGCTTGGTAGCGGATCTCATCCTTGCTGTCGAAATGGGAAGCCGTAGTCCCAGCTGTGATCTGTCACTTTTCTGGTTGCATGGGAAGGGTTTGGGAGGTTCATAGATAAACGGAATGAGTAAGCAGCTACACGCCTCCAGTTCGATAACTGTTAATGAAACACCTTCAGCAAACTAAATGAGGCAGAAATGGGGATGGTGGGGATGTAGTGGTGCTCTCCCACCCTGGTCGTATCGCGTCGTGCTCTGGTCAGACGGGTGATTCCAGGAGCAGCAGGCTTGGGGCAGACCTGTCGCTGGCCGGGTCCGTGCGGTGTGGACCCACAGCGGCCGTTAACAGCACCTGCTGTGGGGACAATGGGTACAACACACCTCTCTGAGATCTTGGAAACAGTTTCTAGCTCAAAGTATGAATGTCCGACTGGAACACAGGAATCCGCAGCTGTTGGTGCGCTAGCGTTTAGACCTGCTTGCTTTCTGTCCTGTGTCACTAACCTGTTCTCTCCAAGCCGTGACTGGGGACATCGTCTCATCTTTGGCGGGAGGATCTGCTGAATCGGGCAGCGGAGAGCCTCCCTGCAGCTCCAGGCTCAACCAGAGCATTTGGGCCATGGGAACCGCAGAGCTAGGGTGGATGGTGGCATGTCAAGCCTGACCTTGGCTGTTTAGCGTGAATTGCAAAGGTGTTCATGGTAAAAAGCTCGCTTTACCTGCTCTGCAAATGGGATTCATAGAATTGAGTATTTTTTTCTTAAATGGTCGGCAGGTGGGATCTAACAGCATTTCCTGGCAGTTCGATCCAGCCTTGAGTAGCCTGAGACATTGGGGGCGGAGGGGTCAGACTTTACAACTGTGAAAGTGAGTGGGAGGTGTTTCTGGTTTCATATTCAATATTTTGTAATGCCTCATGAAGGTGAGGCACACTGCCAGCCCTTACCCAGCAAGTCTGTACTAAATTCTGCTAATGATGGTCCAGACTTGGTGACTTTCCTTGAAAACCTTTAAAGATGAAATCTCCATATGACCCAGCTGGCTGGATTTCACACAGACAGAAGGTGAAGCGAGCGCTGCTGGCTCTGGCTGCCCCGGGGTCTGATCCTGTCCTGGCCCCGCAGGACCGAGGCAGGCAGGCGCTGGTGTCCAGGCGTTGCTGCTCGGTGTCAGGATACAGTGGCATTTCTCTTTGCAGACCCTGGTGATGCTTTCCTGTTCTTCAGTGCAGAGCCTCACGAGATAATCTGCTCTCTGGGGTGTCTGGAGGGAGGTGCAGTAAATTTCCTCCGCAGCTCTCCAGCGGCGTGTGGCCTCTTTATCTCGATGACCTGGTTATCAGAGCCTGAGAGGTGGGTGATCACCGGGAGCGGGTCACTTGAGGAGTACCCAAAGCCTTTAGCAAGTGCAGAACCCCCCGCTCTGCCTTTGTAAACCCTGCCAGCAGCCAGGAGGGGTGTGCTTGGTGCGGCCGTCAGACAGCACCCGGAGGCTCTCCTGTTTGCAGAGCCTGTCCTGCGCTGGGTTTTGGTTACTTCAGTTTGTGCTGCTCCACCTTCCTTTGGCCAAACCTCCAGAACAGCTGGGAAAGTCAAATAAGAGAAGAAAACAATCTTGGAGGGCATGCTATTTCTTTCTGCCCAAGTTGGCCTTGGATTCTGGCCAGCTTGGGCTTTTTACATAAAATGCTTGCTTTCTGCTCTGGTTGTCTTGTTGTTTTTTTGTTTGTTTTTTTTTGTTTGGGGTGTTTTTTGTTTTTTTTTTTTTTTTGCTTTTGACACACTGAGCATCCTGATGGTGGTGGTTTTATTTCAAAGATGAAGTGTGTTCCTAGGAGCAGGTTCTGTCATCTTCACAACCGCAGTGCCGAGGCTGTTTGAAGTCAGTGGAGGATATGTCAGATGCTCAAGATTTATGAGAGCTCTGCAGTTTATTTCCTAAAGTAGGAAATAAGTTGGTTTTTTTTCCTCCAAGATTCATGATTTATCTGAGCTACCCTTCCTGAAGAAGGATTGAACTGTCTGAAAGCGACGGAGCCCTGCCGTTCCTGTGTGAGGAGCTCACCCTTCTCTGTGAATTGGGGTGGTCTTGATCTTGGCCAGTAGAGGGGTGGAGTGGGAGAACAATGCTTCTTACTGGAATTTGCATCAAATAGATCTGCCCAGCATTTGGAAACTACTTTTTGTGGGGGGTCAGAAGCTGCTGTAAGACTTATTCTGTGTCAAGCAGCAGAGAAGCAAGCTGCAGGGATTTACTGAAACGTTGGGTTTGTATGACTGGGTCTAGCTGGGAGCAAGCAGGCGGTGGAGAAACTGGGAACAACGTGCAACATCCCAGCAGGAGACACGTGGACATAATCCTAATGTCACTAAGGACTCCACTTAATTTTTTTCTTTTAAGTGAGGCTCTTGCCCACAGTGTTGCTGTTATCTGGGAAACAGTGCCTGGCAGGAGGAGGAAAGGAGGGTGGCTGAAGGACTGGTTTCAAGGGCGGTGTATGGGACAAGGGGCTGTTTGCAGAGACTGTGTATAAATGGATGAAAGAAGTGATAACGGGTGCTTGATCTTCAGCTGGCAAAGTGGCTTTGATTTGATTGTAGTTTATTTTAAGCCAATTTCCCTCTAACAATGTTTCTTGCTAAAATAGTCCTTGCTTTCTAGAGCAGGTCTTTAAAAAGAAAAGGAGGGGAAGGCAGAGGAAAGGTAGGATGAAATTCAGCATTCCTGTCCCAGAGAGCGTCCGTTTCCAGTTGTCCGGAGGCCAGAGCTGAACTTGCCCTCCCACGCTATTGCGTGTCCATTCTGGGGGTTCATCCCACCCCGGGCTGTTGGGGAGGGTCTCCTGCTGCTTGGCCCTGGGGAGGTCCTTGGGAAGCTGTTGTACGTGGAAATGGGAACTGGCAGGAGCCTGCGGTGTGGCTGCAAGTTGTCCCACTTGCTCATCTTGTTGCAGAAGACTGCCAGTCATGGGGTTTGTTTCTGGTTTTATTTTCTTTTGAGGCAGGACTTTCAGTTTTCTTTAATGGTTCACTTTGTTTCTGTGCAGAGGAAGGTCGAGGCTTGACTCTCGATGCATTTATTATTGATAGTATGGGTTGAAAGCAGGAGAGGAATGACTCATGGAGTGGTCCGCTCGCCAAGGCTGCCCATTATCGGGCTCGGAGCGTGAGGCGAGTGCGGCACAGCTGGAGAGGCTCAGCTCGGTGCTGAACTGTTACAGAAGAAAATCATCCTGACTCCAGAGAGCTGCAAAACCATAGTGACCTTGCAATGGCTGTATACTAATTCTGATTTTTTAAAATGACTTTTAAACACTGAGCTATAAGTGATGAATTCCAATAATAAAAGCTAAATTTGGGCATGGGGGGGATGTTCAAATTGCTGAATACTTGCGTATTGCTTTTCAGAGTGCTGGAAGGTCCTTAATCTTTCAAGCTGCTACTGCTGAGCACCGTCGGTGTTGCCGGTGGCAGCGTGGCACTGGAGGCAAAGATGGGAATAGGGGTCAGGAAAGTTCCTGCTCTCTGTGCTGTCACTGTGTTTATTATCTCTAAAATCTGAAAGCATCTTCGGTTGAACTTGCTGTCTTTGTGAGAGTTATACGACAAGGGCAAGCTGACTTAAAATTACTAAATGCCACCAAAAAAAAAAAAAAAGGAAAGTTCTCATTGTTTTCATCAGTTAAGGCAGCTGAGCAAATTCTCCTTCGTATCCAAAGCTTTCGCCTGCAGCAGACAAATCTTGTTGCTACTGGACATCAGTAAGCAGTTTAAATTCCAGATTATTTTGCCCTCTGACCTTTGTGCTCTTGTTGGGTTTCGGGTGCATCAGTGACATGAATGATAGCTGCCTCCTGAGGGAGGTTAGTTTTAACTCTTTCCTTTACATGTCATTCCCAGGCATCCGAAGAAGCCTCGCTCCGGGCTCTGGAGAGTCTCATGACAGAGTTTTTCCACAATTGCACAACGAATGAGCGGAAACGCGAGATAGGTGAGCTTCTCAAGGATGGTCCCTTTTGCCTTCTGCTGCCTGCAGACCTCAGCAAAGGTGGCTTGGTTATGTTAAACAAATAGAGCAAGGCGTTCTGCCTGATACTGAACTGGCATCTGAGCCTCTCCTGCTGGTGTATGAACTTGGAGGCTTACATCGTCTGGGTTTTGGGGATCCCATAGCAGGTCCTGTAGATGATTAATATGTCGGTAACTGTCTACTGCTGTGAGCATGGAGATGTAGTTTTTTATCAAGGGTGGTTAGTTGGTTAGGGTGGGAGAAGGATGTTATGTTTTTCTCTGCCTGGACATGGTTGAATTGCGTGTCCTGGAAAGCCTCTGCCTTCAGCCTAGAGGTGGAGCATGGACTCAGCGTTAGGAAGGGGAAGCAGAAGAGTGTCCTAGTTAATGTGAAATGACACGTAGGAATAAACAGTGAGGTTTCGTTTTGGCTGGTGTTATTAAGTCTGTCCTCCTGAAAAGCAGCAGAGATGGTACAGGTGCTGGAGATGAGCTGCGTGCATCCGTGGTGAATGGGTGTAAATAGGCAGCTTGCTTTTCTTCTCAAACTTCTGCCATCACTGACTTCAGTGGCACCAGTACAGTCAGCATGAAAGACTTCTCCCAGACATCTGCTAAAATAAAGAATAAGCAACTAGGCAAGTCAGGTTTCTTTTTTTCCTTTTGTGGAGATCTCCTGCTGTGGAAAAGGTAAAAGCCTTCAGTATCCCCCATTTTCCTGCTTAAATTGCAGGAAAGAAATCAATTAAGGCTTAAATGTGGTTAGCCTGTAAAACAGCCATTGCAGCTTTTCTCTTTGTCACATTTGGTACGTGGTGGCTTGATGTGAGATGACCAAAGCCTGTACCTGAGTGTTTGGAGAGGTTTTTGATATGCTGCCCTACAGGAAAGTCAAGGGCTCTCGGGGCAGCTGCGTGAGGACAGGGGTGGTTTGTACCACCAGCGCTCCTGGGCTTTCACAGTGACCTGCTGTCCCAGCATTTGGCTTTTGTGCATGAAATGGTAATGGTCATAATATCATTTTTGTGTGATTTGTTTTAATATTCAATTGTTAGGTGTAGTATTTATGTCAAAACTGTATTCTAAAATGACAGCTATTTTGTTGTCATTAAAGCCCTATTGTTAGGTTGCCTGTAATACTTTGGAGTGTGATTTTTATTTTATTTTTCCCCCTCCTCCAGGTTTTTTGAGTCATTCCCTGGACATGGGGCTTCTTTCATGCTCAGTGTGTTATTGAGCTATCACTATACATTGTTACGGATTTGTTTACGGCTTAAGAATTTTCATGTAATTTTTTAAAACTTTATTTTTTCAGAGGAGCTTTTAAATAACTTTGCCCAGCAAATAGGAGCCTGGAGATTCTGCCTCTATTTCCTGTCAAGTACAAGAAATGACTACGTGATGATGTACAGTCTGACTGTGTTTGAGGTAAGATGTGTCCTGATGCCTGCTCAGTGCCTTTTCTGTTTGGTGCAGTTTTGGATGGCAATCGATTTTGTTTGAAAATGTTTGTCTAAAATGGCAGTCCGAGTAAGTACGGTGATAAAGGATGCTTTTATTGCTCTCTCCTAGAGAGGTTGCTTAATGGCAGGCTAAGAGTAGGAGAATATGAATCTTTGTACACAAGTTGAAGAATTAATTTCCTGGCATCTCAAAGTCCAAATTACCTCCAGTTTCAGAGGCTGCTTGAGTTTTCTGCACAATGCTTTTAAGAATGTTATTGCTTTTATACTCTTTTTATGGTCAGAAATATGTGCGTGATTACCTGGTACTAGCTGCTGCAAACTTTAACGCTAAGAAGAATGCTAGGGAAGACAAAGTCGCTTTTATTTTCCTGACCTCTTGTAGTTGTGGTTGATGCTCTTGAACGACATCCCACAAGCGTATGTGCTTGTTGGAGAGGTAAGCGCTCTTCTGGAAGACCACATCCCACTCTTTACCTCTTTATAGAAGAACAAAGTTATTGTTAAAAGCCTGAATATTGATTTGTGTATCTGCTGGAAGGAATAGACGTATTCTGTGGACAGCTAAGTTTTATCGACGGATTTCTCAGTGACCAGTGTGGTGTTTATTTTCCCTAGCGATATTCTGGGGTTTGGTTGATGTCCCACGTCACCTTGGTGTGTTTGTGGCCTCTGTGTTGTGTTCTTGGCTGGTTCTCCGAAATCAGAGGGGTTTGGTATCCATTGCAGTGGGCCACTTTCTAGATAGAGCAAACAACTCTGTTTTTAAGAGCTGTGATGTTCTGCTGAAGTATCCATGTTGTTGTTGACTTCTTTGCTTAAAATATTCACTTTATTTTTCTGGGGTTGCACAGGGAGTCTGGACTTGATCAGCAAACTGAATCTGGTTTTCCTCTGTCTCAAAAAGGCAAAATGATGAATGGTTTGGGTGTTCCCTGCCCTGGGGATGGATGTCACACAGCAGCAGCAGCCTGCAATAATTAAACTGATTTTCATGAAGAGGAAAACATTTGGTGTCTGAGGCTCTGCTTCTCTGGAGCAAGGGGAGTAGTGCTGAAAAAATAACTGTGCCCAGAAGGAAGCAGAACAAAGAAATCTCTGTCCAAGTATAAGGTGAGGGACACGAGTCCGCAGCTCAGCAGAGCGATTAGGATCTTGAATTTCCAAAGTTAACTGCTGTAGTGCTGCGTGTTTGACTGGTCCTCGTAGCTGTAGTCTGTTCAGTCTGCAACTCCATCAGTCAGCTGTCGGTGGGTACTGAGTGTCGGTAAAAGCTTGTATATAAACACAAGGACCATTCCCAAAACTTCCTGAGAATGTTGTATTTTTGAGAATGTCTAGGAAGGTAACAGTGGGTCTGGAATAAAAATCCTCTTGGCCTCCTTCCAGATGAACTGTTTTCAATCCTTGCTTTTGGAAAAGAGAACACATTCCCCAAAACATCTCACGGGTGGAGAAAGCTGCTGATTTCAGGTCAAACAAGTAGGGCAAAACTCAGTGGGCATTAAAGCATGAATGTTAAAGCTAAAGCCTCTTCCAGTTTTATTTGGACTTCTGAAACTCTCCTTCTGGACTTGCATCAAGGAACTCTCATTTGGTTGGGTCTTTGTTGCTTTTAAGCAATACTTCTGGATCTTCTCTGCGACAAAACCCAAAGAGCACCCTCTTTGAGGAGCTTAATGGGTCAATATAGCTCTGTACTCTGCACTGTGAACTGGTGCCTCTGCAGTATGTCTGTACTGGGAATTGGGTCTGCGTTGACCGTAAATCATCTTCCATTTGCTGCAGCAAGCCCTTCGCTGTATCTGCTGCTGTTGGGCTCTCCAGGCTGCATGCCTGCGGATGGGTACAGGCATCCCTCAGTAACTTATCCCCAGAGGCTCAGCTCCCAATGCTCCAGAGCCCCTGAATGGGATTGTAGCATGGCAGGAAGGCCATTTGCAACTCTGCCTTCTTATGGATTTTGTCCTGCTATAAGTGGACTAACAGCTTTCTGTTACAGTGGTGCCCTGTCACTCCAAGGGTGACCTTCCAGCTTGGCTTCAGGAGACCTGGGTGGCATCAGAGTCATTGAAAACCAAACTTGCTTCCCCTCTGGTTTTTTTACCTGCTTCATACAAGGCTATGCTTCCCCTTTTAAAGGTGAAAATCTAGGTGTCCAGGGTTAAAAGATAGTGGAAATACTTTACATGCGTGCCAGCTGGTTCTGCTTGACCCAGAACCAGTTAAAACGGTCACATGCTGGTTGCTGTGACTTATCGGTGAACAGAAACGATGGAGTATTCAAAGAGACATTGGCAGCAATTTCTGGCGCGTTGAAACCCATCTTTGGTGAGACTGATGTTGGACGGCTTCTACGAATCTGGTAACGTTAGTGGTGAGGGTTTGGGTTTTTGCTGGAGCTCATTCCAGTACACTGTGCGGCTTGTAAGCAACAAGGTGTGAGTGTTGTTCTGCAGCTTGAGCCATCGCTGCCTTTGGTCGAGTACCCCATCAGGTAGCAAAGCTTGTTCCAAGTTCGTGGTGCAGGGCGCTCTGCTCTGGTTCTGCCTGGCTTAGCTTGCACACACTCACCTCCACGTGTGCTTCAAGGGTTGGTGCTGGGCTGCTGGGCACTTAAAGCATCTTAAATTTCAGCTCTTTTCCTGTGTCAGAGCTCTAACAACAGAGAAACATCTGTTTAACCTGCTGATACCTGCTTGTTTCCTTACCTCCAGGCAGCAGAGAAGGTTGAACCACACCAAAGACAGGTGCTGGAGTTTTCAATGGCCCAGGCCTGGGTAGATTTGGAAGCTGCAGGTTTTTCCCAGTGCATTGAGATGGGCACTGGCCATCCTGGGGCATCACCTGCAGCAGCCCTGCCTGGTGCCCTGTCCCTGCCCTGTGTCCGTGACCTCTCGCTCTTTCAGTGAGGCGTGTCTAAGGTGAGCTCAGTTAGGAGGTCTGTCTCTTTTCCAGAACCTGATCAATAAGATGTGGCTTGGGGTCCCGTCGCAAGACAAAATGGAGATCCGCAGCTGCCTGCCCAAGCTGCTCCTGGCTCACCACAAAACTCTGCCTTACTTCATCAGGAACAAACTCTGCAAAGTCATCGTGGACATTGGCCGGCAAGACTGGCCCATGTTCTACCATGACTTCTTCACTAACATCTTGCAGGTAAGAAGTTTCTAAAGATAAAATTTGGTTTCATTCACTGAGAGATGTTGTTTTGTTATACTGTGTTCAGTTTTGGGCCCTTCACCACAAGAAGGACATTGAGGGGCTGGAGCAGGTCCAGAGAAGGGCAACGGAGCTGGGGAAGGGTCTGGAGCACAGGGCTGACGAGGAACGGCTGATGGAACTGGGGGGGTTCAGTCTGGAGAAGAGGAGGCTGAGAGGAGACCTCATCACTCTCTACAGCTGCCTGAAAGGAGGGGGCAGTGAGGGGGGTGCTGGGCTCTGCTCTAAAGGAACAAGTGATGGGACAAGAGGAAATGGCCTCAAGTTGCACCAGGGGAGGTTTAGGCTGGATATTAGAAAAAATTTCTTCACTGAAAAAGTGATGAGGCATTGGAACAGGCTGCCCAGGGCAGTGGTGGAGTCACCATCCCTGGAGGGGGTCAAGGAACGTGTGGATGTGGTGCTTGGGGACATGGGTTAGTGGGTTGGGTGGGGTTGGGTTGACAGTTGGACTTGATGATCCTTGAGGTCCTTTCCAACCTTAATGATTTGTTTCCTTGAGCAGTGACTTCCCTGGACACAGATTAAAAAATTACATGAAAAACAAAGTTGCTTCTTCAATTCCTTCTCCTTTTTAATTTTGCAAATAACCCTTAGCTTCCTACATGTTCCATTTCTTTCTAGAGCTGTAAGTTTTTTGACAAAGGGACAATACTGCGCAGCGAGTATCAGCTGCACTTTGAATTTTAAGTATTCAGGAGTAGTTGTTGAAAATGTAGAGGTTGTAGGTTGTTCTTTAAAGAAACAAGTCAGTAAAACTATGGAGGCACCACGGGATGATTCTCAAAAGTGAAGTTTCTGAATGTAGCTGTTGGAGATTTTTCACTTAATAGCCAAAGATACCCTAAAGTCTCTGGCACCTCCTCGTGTGAGGTCACGAACGGGATGTTGTTGGGGTGGGATGTTGTTGGGGTGCGTAAGAGGGCTCTGGCAGGAGGACTAGAGGATGTGTTTGAGGATCCTGGCTGAGACAGGCCGTTAGTTTCATGTTGGTTGTGATGCAGTATCTCCACGGTGAAGGCTGAGCCAGGCGTAGCAGCCCGCTGCCCCAGGAGCCGAACCAGGCTGGTGCAAACCTCCTCTTCTGGCTCGAGTGCTTTGTCTCCACTTCTCTTAAAATTGTTCGTAATTGGCTTAAAGAAGCCGAGTATAAACTGAAGTGCTGCATAGTCTTTTTCTGCTGACATAATTACAGGATTTGAATGTGGCTGTGCCCACAGACAAGCCACAAGGCAGTTATTAAAAAAAAAAAAAAAGTCAGAGTCCCTGAGTGTCAGGAGTTTATTTGTTAAGACATGGATCTAGTATTAATTGCAAGATTTAAAAAATGCTAACTTCCCACACAGAGCTTGTTACTAACTGGTGTAATCTCTTTTCACATAGCTTTCTGTAATCATGTAGGGCAGCAGGCTGCAATTTTTTCCTGAATTGTCAAATTGACAAAAGTACTTTGAGACAACTGTCTGCGCTTCCAGTTTCATTTCACCTGGATCTGCAATTGAATTTCTGAGCTTCCACTTGCTTTTCTAGCACTTTGGAGGCTATCCTAAATGATTGCAGAGCCTGCTTTGGGTATCTATTTTTCTTTAAGCCTCTCCTTGTGAACTCAGCTTCAGAGGGAAATGTTCCCATAAATTACTTTCTATAGCAGATACCTTCCAAGAATGTTCAGGGAAAGTGGAAGAAAAACACTAATACTGAACTTCAGGACCTCAAAATGAAGCAGAGTAACGCAGGAGCGGAATGACTTGCTTTTAGAGTTGCAGATGAGTCCTCTCAAGACTTTCTTCTGAGATAATTTGAAGCAATTTTTTGCTTCTTTAGCATTAACATGTATCCCAGTACTCTAAGTAGCCTCTCAAACTTTTACCGAACCATTGGAGAGATGGAGATGAAAAGGAATTTGGACTATTGTATTGTCATTATGCAAAACAGATAATTTTACACATAAAGTGCTGCTACTTTAGAAGTATGAAATTTGTTTGAAGTGCCAGTGCGTGGTATTGCTAAACTTCCTGGTACTGTCAGAAGATATTCTGAGGAGAGATGTTCAGTCTCTTTGCAACTTAGTAACAAGTTGTGTATTTAATTTAATATTTTTTTTAGCAGTCTGTTCCTGTGCCATCTTGCTTCCTTTCTAAAAGCCAACATACATCTAGACTAAGAACTTTTAGGTGGGCTTTCCCCCCGTGTATTTCACCAAACTGCATAGCCTTAGCAGTGTTAACTCGGCATGTCTCTGGTTTAGTGGGTCAAGGAGAGTAGGAACAAGGTCAGCCTGTGTGGCTGAATTTATGGCTTCAAGGATTGCTTGTAGTAATTGTGATTGGCTTTAGGCTTTTTCTCCCCGAGGGTGTAGCACATAAATTGTGTTGGATAATTCTGGGTGGACAGAGAAGAGCAGCATTGAATTTCAGCTGAAAATAAAACTTGATCCCACTTGAATGTGTCTTTACTGTCCCAGTGGCTAATGAAAGCAACAATCATGGTGTTGGTCCTGTTCCTGAGTGTTCTGTCCATGGTGAAAGTCACTCTTTTTAGGGTAAATGTGCTTTCCAGTTTGAGATGCAATACAGATGCAAGGAGAGGTTGTATCCCTTAGCTGGGTTCCTCTGTCACCTGATATTGGCTGCAGCATTTTGGATGGGCTTTTAATGGGAAACTGCTGGGCTGGCGGTGCCGGCTCTGCCCCGAGCGTGGGGCAGTGGCAGCCTCGTACGTGGGGAACCTGCCGGCGCTGGGGCGGTTCTGAGAAGTGGTGATGTCAGCAGAAGGCAGTAAACAGAAGGAACAAACTGTTACTGGTAAACACGCAGGAACAGAGAACATGTGCAGTGACATGATGAAAGCTCTCTGAAACCCCGAGGATTCCCGTGGTACTTGACCTGTTGCAACACCGTAGATTAATATCTCAGGAAATGGAGTATTTGCAGCTCTCTTCCCTCGACATGCAGCACTGCCAGCTGCGGGAACTGCTACTGCTGCCTTGGTCTTGAAGCATGAGTAAACTGCTAGTAGTGTTACTAACCCCCTTTGTCAGCCGACAGTTTTGCAGAATATCATAATCACATGTTGCATTTGTGTGTTTTCCTTTCAGTTAATTCAGTCTCCTGTGACCACCCCTCTGGGATTGATCATGTTGAAAACTACTTCGGAAGAACTGGCGTGTCCGCGGGAAGATCTGAGCGTAGCCCGCAAAGAAGAGCTACGCAAGCTGCTCCTAGACCAGGTGCAAACAGTGCTTGGGCTCCTCACAGGTACGAGCTGCTGCGCTTGCAGTGTTGAAACAAACATCCTCCTTCACCATCCCTGAGGTGCTGGCAAAGTCGCTCGTTCTGGGTTCAGTGGAGCAACGTGTGGGTGGCATAGTGGCTGCTCCTGCAGTGTGGGTGCTCAACTCTACCCTTGGGCATTTGGGTCAGCTTATTGTGAAACCAGCTTGTGTAGCAGAGCAGCTGTGTAGCTATGTACGTCCCTCTTTACAAAGAGGGGTTGAGATTGTGTGTATAAGCACTTGGTAATTTCTTTGGGCTCCCTAAGAGAAGACAAAGTTCCTTGTCAAAGCACTAAAGATGTGTTCTACCAAAGTTCTCTTGCAGTCTCCAGGATGTTTGTTAGATGAATCTGTCTCTTAGCAGGTGGTTCTGAAATTTATCTCTTTGGGCAGGTATTTTGGAGAGCATCTGGGACAAACACAGCGTTACTGCTGCCACTCCACCACCATCCCCAACTTCAGGAGAAAGTGGTAAGGATGGGTAAAGGTACAAGATGATATTTCCATGTACTTACACTTGCAATATCAGGCATAGGTTCCTTCCTTTACTGTCAAACCTCTTGTAATAACCCTTTCCTAGAGCTTTTCGTAGACCAGCAAATTTCTGGTCAGAAAGACAAACCCTGCATAAAGAAGTAATTTCCACCGTAGGGGATCCCCCACTGAAAATGCCACCTCATTGAAAAGGGCACATATAGCTGCTAGGCGTCCTCAGATGGCAAAAAGCTTTCTGAAGCATCAATGCAAAATGCTCTAACATCAGTGAGCTGGCATTGTCTTCTCTGAATTTCAGCTGTAAGCACCTCAGAAGCCAGAGTGGAGCAAAACTGAAGCCCTAAAAAAAAAAAGTCACCAGGACTTTGTGCATATGTATGGTGAAAATTAGTTGTCTGCATGGTGTTAATCTGATCTGAATTCATTTACATATATATTTCTCAGTTCCTTTCAAAATAGAGAATATATTTCTGTGTCCTTTTACTTGGCACACATTTCACTCATCCTGCTAAGGCTGAATAGGGGATAGATGTGTAGGGTCACCCCAGGCATAACGCTGGTCTTGATGACTCCCCGTTCCTCGTGTGCCGTGGTGGCACGCGGGTGGTTGTTACATTTGGCTCACCCAAGCATTGTCCAGCAGATTGTGGTGTCTTTACTCCTGCTTCTTGGAAAACAAAGCAAGAAGAAATACATGATGTCAGTATGTTGTCTGATCTTGGCTCTGTCTGCTTTTAACAAGGAAAAAGATGAGCTTAGGGTCTGGAAACCTGAAATACCCGGTTGTCCATAGGGAGAAGATGAAACGCTTGTGGATCTGATATTTCTTTCTCCAGGGTCATACCGATACCAAGTTGTGCTCGGTGCAATGTGTTCTGTGAGTTAACACAATCGGATCCCTTCATCTCACCTGGCTTTGGGACCTGAAGCAGTTAATTGAGAGTTGCTGATCATGTCCTTGTGGCCAGATTGCACTAGTCAGCTTAGGACAGCTGCCTGGGATGAGCTTTTGGTAATGTTTTGGTTAGTGTTAAAACTTTCACATTTAAGTTTAAGCAGAATTTCGAGTGCTGCTTTCCTGTAGAAGAGCTTAAGACACTTCTATATTTATATGCAAAACATAAACTTAAATGGAAGAAATATTTCCTTGGGTTTGGGGGGGTGTGGATTTTGCTGTAGCTAGCAAACATTTTAGAGGCAGCTTTTCATCCACCTGCACGTTCACCTTGTGACTTTAGACCATATTTCTCAAAGTGCAAGTAGGATGCATTGATGTTCTGGGTCTGTCCTTCCTCCCCTTTCAGGGAGAACAAACAAACTTCTCACACAGCCTTGTTTCAAGATAATTGCTCGTAATTAAGGCTTCACTGAGAATTCCTTTAGAAGTTCAGACTTCATTTCCCTGGGTTCTGCCTGTGCAAACTCCTTTATTTGAAACTTTATGGGTTTTTTTTTCTGTGCTCTGCCTTAACCACTCTCTCCACGTTAAAACTGGTTGTGCTTTGAGTTCTTGATGTTAAAAGGAAGAGCGCTGAGTGCTTCCCTCTTGTCCGCTGCTGGATCTCGTGAAGGACTCTTTTTCCTTTACTTTATTAACCAAGTGTCCCTTGGGTCACTATTTGGTGATACGATCGGTCAAAAGACCAAGCGGCAGAAGAGCACTGATGGGGTTGCTGACATGGAGAACCCATGGGGCTTAAAGCCGGAGCCCCAAGTCGATGTCAGTGAGTGGCAGTCGTGGCATTGCACAGCTGCTGGACTGGGTGTGCAGGCAGAGACGGACTCGTGATTGGAAGGTGAACTGTGGGACAAACGTGGCTTTAGTGAAACTCTGCCGTGAAATTCTGCGTGGGGGATGCTAATTGTTTCTCTCTCCTTTAAAATTTGTAAAATCTGTAAGCTGACCAAATCTTTGTACCCATGTATTGTTATGTTTGACTCTCATTCATGCACCAAAGTATTCCTGCTTACTGGTGATGCTTCTACTTTTTTGTTGCTCAGATGAGGCCACCACCTTTTTCTTTTCCATTCAGGTGAAATTGAAGGTGTTCCAAAAAGCACGTTAAACTTCAGAGTCCCTATAAAAGGTTAATGTTTTTGTCAGAGCCAAGATCTCTTTAGGAACTTGGAAAACCTTTGCTTCCTTTTTTTGGCACAGGGAAGCAGAGTGGAACTGTTACTTGCAAGTCTTGCAGAGTTTTTAAATAGCACTCGAAGACAGTGCTGAATGCATTTCCCCTGCCACTTCAGCAAAGGAACGCCGATAAATGTCCTATGTTGGGAAACGTTTGAGTTATTGCATCAGTACAGAATTTACTCAGCAATAATCTCTCAGCTTCCGAATGTCTTTGCGTGATTTATATCTCTTTACGTGATGGATCCCTTCCTTTGGACATAGTCACTCGCGTGTAGTAAACAAATGAGGAGCAGAGACGTTTGCTGCTGCTTGCTTCTGCAGAACTAGCCTGATCCCAGCCCCTCCCCGAGAGTTTTCTCCTTGTGTGTGGATGCCGTTGATCCTGTGAATTCATCACCTGTTTGCAAAGACACCAAATAGAACTTAAAATCCCCTAAACTCTGAGCTTCAGTGATTTATCTGGCTGCAAAGCACTCGGACCAACTGCTGTGAGTTACAGGGACCTAATTTACGGTTTCTGGTCCTGATGCATTAACAGATGAGAATCTTTGATTCTCATTGATTTTTGAGGAGTTTGGACTGGACGTTTGAGAGAGGCATGTGTGCTTCTGTAAAAGCCCAGTGCAAATGACTCTTGCACTGCAGCGTATGTCTAGTTGGGAATGTTACCGTAGGGGCTGCTCTGATGTGAAGACTGAGTGCAGGGTTATCTGATCCAGCTGGAGGAGCATGGTGCCTTAAGTTCCTGGAGCGGAGGAGAGAGAAATGATATGGGTATGGCAGGGAGTTATGAATTTAATAAGACATCGATCTTGATGAAAAATGGAGAGTTAAGAAGAGGAATGTGTTCATCATGCGTGCTTTTGAGTACTTTGGAAATAGCTCGGTAAATCGTATCTGTTATTGTCGTATTGCTGATGTGCTGGGTCGTTTCACTTTCAAAAAATAAATTACTCGGATTTTCTGGGGAGAACTTTAAAGTCTGTAACATAACAAATGCCTGTGGATTTCTAAAGGTGAAGAGATGATTTGTGCTCAAGGAAGAGAAGGGTGTTGAATCCTTGGGGAAGGTGAATGGGTTCCCAGCGTGTGGGCTGTGGGGGTGTTGGTGGCAGGTGCTGCGGGGACGGGCAGCCTGGCTGGGGCTGGCTGCTTGCATTGCCCTAAAGCTTCCAAGAATGCTAAAAGCTTTTGAGAAAGTGAAAGCCGTCAGGGAGAAGGGGAGTCTCTGTGTTGCTGAAAAGTTGGTTAGAAGGTAAGTGGAGATGGTCCCCTTGCCACCTGTGGAGCACTGCTTGGGACTGTGCTCGTGGATGCGCTTGTTAGAGTGTGGGGAAGGGGCTCGGGAAAGAGACAAGGAGGATTGCTGGTGGCCCCAACGTGGTCGGGACAGGAAAAGGAGGTGTGGCTGAAGACTTGTAGGGAGATCTTGCACGTCTCTGGGCAGATGGGAGGTGAAACACGATGCACGTGAGTATAACCTGCGTTTGGGCAGGGAGAGCAATGCTCATCTCATCCCAAATCATGGGCTCCAAACTCGCCATTGGCGTGTGGGATTAGCTTGGGAGTGTTAGACGAGAGCATTCTAGAAAACTCTCGGGGGGTGGCCGTCCAAACCAGGTAACGGCGGTGGTGCTGTGCGGAATTCAGGTTCCTCTGCGCCTGGATAGCAGCTGCGGGTCTGGTCTTCCTGTGTCGATATGAAAGCTGTGTAGAAAGGTGGTAAAGATGATTGAGGGTGTTGAATGGCTTCCATGTGAGTAACGAGAAAAGTAGCACTCTCATTCTCTCAAAGCAATTGAGAGCAAGGAGCTGCAATAGGAAGCTGTTGAGTGACACATAGAAGGTGAATGGAAGGAGGTTATTTCTTTTCCTTGTTGGGTGCAGGAGGTAGGAGATGAAACTAGCAGCTGACTGGTCCCAGATAAAAACCAGCTTATAGTTAAGCTGTGGAGCTCTGTCACAGGATGTTGCAAATATTAAGTGCATGTGGCTTTAGCTGGAGACTGGATAAGTTAATGGAATATAAATCCTGAAGCTGTGCAGAATGCTTCAAACCCCATCCAGCTCAGGAAGCCTTTCCAGTGTGAGTGGTTGGAGGCTGAAGAATGTGGTCTGTGCCTGCGCTGGGCTTTTGGTCACTGAGAAAAGGTACCTCGCTTGCTCGGCTTTTTGGTGTGACTCGGTACCTCTGCTCTTACATCACCCACAAGCTGTGCTACGCGAGCAGAAGCAGCTCTGCCGAGGTTCAGTGTGACGTGGATGTGCCAGAGAACTTGTGCAAGCTTACGCCAAGGATGCTTGACCTTCCAAGGGGAGGGAATTTTATAATAAATTCCTAAAATACATCCCATGGCATTGCTGTTGTCATCTGAACAAAAGTTCAGAAAATTCCAGAATACAAAAATGGTTAGTTCATCTCAGACAAATCTTTGAACGGTAACTTGCTGAGTGCCAGCGGCTCTGGTGGCTTTTGCTCTGTAGCTGGGGCTGGCAGTTGCACCGGTTGAAGGTCGTCGCCCTGATTTATAACGCAGATGTGTGCTTTGTTTCCTAGGTGACCTGTTAAGTAGCCTGTTGCAGAGTCCCAGTGCGGCCAAATTATTGAACCAGCCGATCCCCATTCTTGATACAGACAGTGAATATATCTGTTCCCTGGCGCTGGAGTGCCTGGCACACCTCTTCAGCTGGATCCCTTTGTCCACCAGTATCACCCCCTCCCTCCTCACCACCATTTTCCACTTTGCTCGCTTTGGCTGCGACACCCGCGTTCGGAAGATGTCTTCGGTCAACGGCAGCAGCCAGAACTCGGTGCTGGGACAGGAGCGTGGCCGACTTGGCGTCTTGGCTATGTCTTGTATCAATGAACTGATGTCTAAGAACTGCGTGCCTATGGAGTTCGAAGAGTATTTGCTACGGATGTTCCAGCAGACTTTCTACCTCCTGCAGAAGATTACCAAGGAGAACAACGCGCACACGGTGAAGAGTCGGCTAGAGGAACTGGATGAAAGGTAAGAGCAATCCAACAGCTATGTAGCTGTGCTAGGGCCTCTTGCTTTCTAAAGGACTGTCTTGTTTGGCGGTCATGCATGGTGTGTCTAATGGCCTTTTTTTCAGAGTACTGTGCTGGGGGAGACAGGCAGAAAGGTAGGTGCCTGCAGGTAAGGTTCTGGTAAGGGGCTGAGTTTGCTAAGGGACCGTGGTGGCACAGGTTTGTATTCTGTCCTCTCCTCTTCCTCCCCTTTCCCCCGTTCGTTACTGTTTGACTGCAGGTCTGAGGTGGCCCAAGAGCTGACCCTGCCCTTCATTCAGTTGTAACAGAACACAGAAGAGGCTCAGTGAGGTAAAGGCATTGCAGTCTTCCCCTTCCTGGTCGGTAGCTGCCTTCTCTGCCTAAACCCAAACACAGGAGGAGTGGGTAGATATTCCACGAGTCATGACTTGAATGAAAATAGAAGCAGTTTCCTACCTTTCATTGAGATGTCATGGTTTCTGATTGCTTTTTTATTTTTACCTTTTTTTTTTTTAATTTTTAAACAACACTGAAAGACAGCTCAGGGAGCTCCGTTGGCAGCCGCGGTGAATGGCTCTGCCGCAGAGGCTGTCTGGCGTGCTTGGCTGGAGGCAGCAGGGACGCGGCAGCACCTTGCGAGGCTGCCTATTGTCACCTCCCAGAGAGTTACCACCATCTGTGGTGCCTAGAGCGGCTCGACTCTTGTATCGGATATTCCTACTTGTAGGAGAGAAGGCGAGACTCGTCTTGCTGTTGTGTTGAGCGGTTGGATCCATGTGTTGGCAGGGTGGTGGCAGAGGTGACAACGCGCTGCTGCCTCTTGTTGCGGCACGCTGTGTGCCGTGGGATGGCGGGCAGGCTGGTGCTGACGGTGGCAAATAGGTTGCAACTGTGCAAATGTGCTCAGTATCTTACTACGGGTACTCCACAGAAATAAATTTCTGGTGCTGCTGTGTAAAATATTGCTGTTACCAGACGGAGCAGCGAAGTTTTTGAGCTTTTGGGAGGTTTTTAGCAAATTTATCAAAAAAAAAACTGTGGGTTTTGTAGAGATCACTTGCATGCTTCTTCTCTAAAATTCCCTTTTTCCATGTCTTTAGGTACACATATAACTTTGGGGTAGTAAATCGAGATTCGTCATGACTTCTGCTTAACAGTGAATTCTCCTGGCTTGTTTTTTGACTAACTCCCTCAGACTTCAGTATCGCTCGCTTCCTGGAAATAAGACATGTTCTAGGAGGGCAGAAGTCTGCCACATCTGCGTACAAGACGTGCACAGAGAGCCAGATTTCTGGATTCCAGAAGAGCTCTCCTGGAAGCCCACAATCCCCTTTTAAACTTTCTTCTTTCTTTTACGGAAAGGCGAGGCTGCGGGAGGTCGGCAGCTGTGTTGCCCTTCCCAGAGGTGGGATTGTCGTATCTTTATGTTCTGCTCCTTAGGCGCGTTATCCACAGAGTGTCTGTAACTGTGAGACCCCTCCTCATTCATTGCTAAGGTCTGAAATAGGAAAGTAACTGAGACATTCTGGAGACTGGAAAAATCCAGCTGGCTTCTGGAGGAGTGGAGCGTTGTCTGACCTGACTCTGTCCTCTCCGTGGAAGAGGATGCGAGGATTCCCCTTTTGTCACTTCAGGGCATAGCTATACTCTCATGTCCAAAAAGAACTCACCGCATGAAAACATCATCCTGGCTTGGAGTAACAAAATCCTAAACAAAACTGGCACTGAAGAAACTCCCTTCAGTAGATTGCCACCTTCAGAACCTGCTTGCCCTGGGTCTGTCCTTGCCATCCCTCTCCTGGTGCTGGTTCTTTTTGTTCTGTTCCAAATCAGTGTGGTTTTGAATGGTTGGTACTGCCAATCTGGTCCAGAAAAAGAGTAAGCTTAAACTATCTTTTTTTTAATCATTTTTTTTTAACTGGCTTTATTCGTGTTTGGCTTTAGCTTGAAGATCCCAATGTATGGGTGGGAAATGGCTCGTAAGGATGCGAGCAACGGCACAGGGGTTGCAGAAGGGGCTTTGAGGCTGGAAGAGCTAAGGGCCAAGTACGAATTTCACTGGTCTGTGATCACAGCCTCTTTAGAAAATAAAAATGGAAAAAAAATTGAAGGCAGTGTTTAGGTTTAGACACTATTTTTTTTTGCTAGTTGTGCTTTTGAAGGGTTTGGTCAGTGATCAGACATGTTTAGTGATGTCTTGTCAAGCAGGCAGTGTCATCTTTTTGCATATTCAAAATATTGTGTGGGTTTTGTAGGCTTGTAATAACCAGCAGTGCGGCAGCTCTGTGTTAGCTGTCAGTGCTTCTGGGCTTTAGTTAGTTTTAATTAGAAAGAGAGGGGGTTACCCCAAAAAAATCAGGAGTTTGCAGAGAAGGGAGAGCGAGGCAGCACGGTAAAACCAGACTGCTCAAGCATGTCTGAAAGTTTGCAAAGCCTGACTTATTTGGGAAAAAAAAAAGGTCAGGTACTCTTTGTCACTGAATTAGCAGAGCTCTTGCGGTTTGCGTATGATGTTGCAGTGCATGGATCCTGTATCCTGATGGAGTATCTACCACTTTTCTGTATAGCTGTGAAGCTGTTTTCTAACCTTGGTGAAGCTCATCTTAAGCAGGGTGTGATCCCATTCCCCAGTAAAAGCTCACTGCCCTGTGGTCTTTGGAATTTTTCCCCAGTCGCATACTTGGGAACCCACCGGTGCTTGCACGGAGGCCGTGCTCTTGCTGGGCTCCCTGAAGTTTCGGTAGCAGGCTCCTTTTCGGATCTTCACTTTACATGGTTTCAAGCATTGAGTAGCCCCTTGCTTTGGAGGAAGATTTGTCTTCGTAGTCTAACGCAGCCGCAAAAGCCTGGGCTCGGTTCGGAAGCTTTTGGCCAGTTGAGCTGTGCTGCAGAAGAAGCTCTCCTTTCCAGCGCTCAGCCCCGTGGCTCTCCCCTTACCTCCTGGAGATCTGTAACCTGTGTGTTGCTGACGGCTGCATTAACTTCTTGCTTCCAGCTGAATTCCGCAGTGGTACGGTCTATGTCACTAATCCTGTCTGCGTCAGTAAGATGACCCTCGCTATCAAATACTTACGTCTCCAGGGTGGGGGGATCGTGCTTATTTGCAGACCTGATTGAACTCGGTTATACTTCTCTGAATATTAAAGTTGCTTTTGACTAGACTGTCTTTTCTGCTGTTTCAGGTATTAATGGAATGAAGGGTTGCCCGTCCTGTAGGTAATTGTTGCAGGGCTTTCTATTTTAATTGTTCTACTGGCTGTTAATGGTAACTTTCTTTTTAATGGAAGGATTTTGAGTGCATTTTATCACTATTTCAATGAAATTGCTTTCCCTTGTGGCATCCTTCATGTTTTCTCAGGGGTGTTCTCTTTCCGTTGTAGCTACATTGAGAAGTTTACAGACTTTCTCCGGCTCTTTGTGAGCGTTCACCTACGAAGAATCGAATCCTACTCCCAGTTCCCCGTGGTTGAATTTCTGGCACTGTTGTTCAAATACACTTTTCATCAGGTACAGCCCCGCAACATTATTTTTTTCCCTTTGGTCTGTTCTCTGTGTTCTGTTGTCTCGTACAGCAGGGGTAGCTTGTTTTCCCTAGTGAAGGTAATACCTAAAGGTAACCCAGAAAAAAGCAATTAACTTGTCTTGCTGGCACTTCCCTGGTGGTGCTGGGGACTTGGAAATGGCTTAATGTGCTCTTGGGTTTAGCTGGAGACAGCAGTCACGCGTAGTTACCTTGCAGGAACAACTTGTCTGGTGTTTAACTTTGCTTCTGCTTTTATTTTTTTTGCCAGTGCTTGGAACAGACCAAGTTGTCCAGAAAAATGTCTCTAGCTTGTTTGTTTTGCAGTGGATGCTTTTTTTCTCCTGAACCTGCTGCTTTGACTGGATCTGAGGCTTCCCTTGTAACTTTTAGGTTTAGTATTTAAAAACGAAAACCAACCCAGTGGCTTTTGGTACGTGTTACCTTGGTGTCGAAGCTGTCCCAGTGCAGCTCAGCCCTGTTTATTGTCACCATGTGTGAATCATGACCAAGAAGCAAAGTTACAAAATGCTAGAAGCTGATGCAGTAAGCCGTGAGACCACCCTTGTAATTCTTGGGCTCTCACCGCTGGGGAGAAGCTTTTGCTCGTGTTTGACAGCTATAAATCTCTCCAGTGACCTCCTAGAAATTTTTCAGAGAAGCAGGAGGTTCTTCCCATGGATTGAAGTGCATGCTAGCTCATATTTTCATTGTGTGAAGCACTCTTGCCGTAGCTCACGATATTCACTGGGAATTTTGGTGTATTTCAGCCTACCCATGAAGGTTACTTTTCTTGCTTAGACATCTGGATGCTCTTCTTGGACTATCTGACTAGCAAAATTAAAAGTCGTCTGGCAGACAAAGAAGCAGTACTCAACAGGTGAGCAGTTGGGAAAGTATCACTTGTGTTGTGTGTGAACCTAGCAGCCAGAGGAAGGAAGCTTTGCAGTCTGACATAGAACTGTAAAATGTTTTAGCAAATTTTAGAGCACATTTTAGCACATATTAGAGGAGGAGACCACAGAGTAAGTTGCCCAGTAAGTGTTCATGCAGTTCATACAACTAATTCATGAACTAGGAATTTTTAAAAATCTAATTAGGATTTTAAAATTCCTGTTTAAGTAGAGGAAGTGTTTCTGAGAAATATTGATGAGATGGTGTTTGGAAGTTGAAAGTTCCGCTTGCTTACCTCTGATGGTAGGTGTGTGTGTCAGCTGCAGCAGTGGGTGGCAGCTCTTCCTTTGTAGATGCTGTCTCCTGAAATGTGTGGCTCTCTTCTGATAAAAGCCCCTTTGCTGCCATTTTAAAAATCTGGGGGATATACTGGTGTCTTGCTCAAGCTTTGGAGGCTTAACAGTGCCACAGCTTGTGCCACGTTATGTTCTGGGTGCAGAAGGAAGCTGCTTTCCCTCGAGCACACTAAGTGGTTGGTTTTTGAAAGACAGCCTGGCGTCATAACCACAAAGAACAAATGCGGAACTGGCTCACACCACACAGCTCTCTTCTTTTCAGCATGGGAACTGTGCTTTTTTAATTTCTCAAGTAGTAGGTATTTGCATCTGAACTCTGTTATAATTTGTTCCTAACGTGCTGCTCTCTGACGCTGTTGAACTCTGCCTTGGCGTTCTGCTCGCTCTTCATCGGCTGATGTGCGTGTCACCTGCGCTGTCCTCCTGTCAAAGGGTTTGTTACGGGGAAAGCTGAAACTAACAGTAGCTGTCTCTCTAGGAGATATGTCAGGCTATAAACGAACAAACAAAAAAATCCTGTGAGTGGTTGAAGCTTACACTGTTTTGTCAGAAGTCCCTGTCTGCAGTGACAGCTTCTCTAGCTGTGGCTTCCTGCGCGCTCTCGGCCGCGTGAGCGCTGCAGTCTGGGAGTGCGCACACCGCGGGAGCGCTGACGGAGTTTCCTGTTCTGTGGTTTATCAGCTTGGTGTTTTGCACACATTACAGCTTTCACTGCTGGATAAATTGACAAAGTCAGGGTTATGTCATGTGGTGACGGAAAAGATGGCAATCGGGGCACCTTCATGGAGAGCTTTCGGCTGCCTAGCTGGTGACACTGCTGACTGGTGTGTGACCCTGGCATTGCATCGTGCTCTGGATCTCTGTTCATCGATGCTAATGCCTTATTTTCCAGCCTGATCTCACCTAGGAAAGAGCATGACTTTGCATCACACCCCAGCTGTTCTGAGAAGGGAGGGTTTTAAAAACAATCAAAGCAAACCCCATCAAAATCCCCAAACTTTGGTGTTGTGTCACCAGGAATGAATGCATGCCCAGGTGGCTCTGTGCTGATTTTGCAACTTGGCATTGTTCTTGGGTGATCAGTGAGAAGGAGGGTCTTCTGTGCTCTGTACCAGCTTCGTAGCTCCGAGAGATTAAAAGATATCTTTCAGTAACCTGCCTTGAATGTTACCATACAAGTAGAAAAAGTGCTGGCTTTGTTCCAGAGGACAAGGGCTGGAATTCTTTGGCACGGTGTAGGTAAAGAGGATAGCAGAACAAATAGCCTCCAGGGAGGTTCCCTTTCGAGGCAGGCAGCAATAACTGCCCCGTTTCATCTCTTCCTCAGTCACTGCCCAAAAAGCAGAGCATCAGACAAGCTGCTGAGGAGCAGGTTAGCAGCGAGAAGCTCTTGGTGCCTCCTGTTCGTGCACATCTGCATTATTCCTGGGCAGCCACTCCTGCCTTTCCTGTTCTGAACTCTTGGGCTGCTTCTGTTGCTAACACTTCTCCCTTTCCCTTGCAGAGGGATATCAGACATTCCCAAGGCTCTTTCCTTGCAGGTAGCCTGTGCCCTGAAAAGAGATGATACCTTAGTCCCAGGGTCTGCCTGATGTTTCCTCAGCAAACCCATAAAGCTGTGCTGCGGGCTCTTTGCAGTGGCTCGCTTTAAACCAGCATCTTCCGTATCTGCTGTACTGGAAGGACCGTGGGCGCAGCAGGCTCTGCAGAACTGCTTGATCAAGCTCTTGCTCTGTTTTCTTCATGCTCATAGGTACGAAGACGCCTTGGTTCTGCTGCTGACAGAGGTGTTGAACCGAATCCAGTTCAGGTATAACCAGGCACAGCTGGAGGAGCTGGATGACGAGACACTGGACGATGATGTAAGGAGCAGAGCTGAACAGGGACAGCTGCAGGTCCAGATGGTACCTCCTGCACTGGGGACACCTAGGTTGTCTTTCCCAGAGCTTGTACGTTGGAGTACAGGCTAGACAGCTGCTTCTTCACTCCATTCTGTCTGGGGTTTGATGTTTAAAGCAGCACGAAATGCTTTTAACAAAAATGGACTTTAAAAGTCACACTGAAAGGATATGACCTTTGTTTTTAGCTTGGTTCTTATGTGGGAAAAGATATAATTATCAGAAGTATTAGGTGTCCATGCCTGATTGCTTTGGAATTTAAATACCAAAGTATGTCTTGAGACTAAAGCTTTAAGCTGTATATATTGTTGGTGCTTTCATTTAAGCTGATTTCTCCTTAATGGCTATTGGTAAACATTATCTCAGTACTGATAGTTGTAGAAATGGAGTAGATGGCCAAAAGAAATGCGTGTGCATGCCCAAAGCATGGATGGGTTGGTAAAATTATTCTTTATGAGATGTCTAGCAGCATATGAGAATCGTGAGCAATATCTCTTCTGTATCCATGTGTCTGCAAAAGCCAAGCTCTGCAGAGGAGCTAACTAGGCCCAAGCATCAATTCAGACCTACTAGTCCACGAGAAGCTGTCTGTTTCCCGCTGAAGTGCGGTGCTCACCTTGGTGTTTCTTCCCACAGCAGCAGACCGAGTGGCAGCGGTACTTGCGCCAGAGCTTGGAAGTGGTTGCCAAAGTCATGGAGCTCTTGCCAACTCATGCCTTCTCCACACTAGTAAGTAGTTATCCAGACCAATAGCACGGTGTGAAATGAGCACCGACTGCTGGAGTTGGTTACAAGCTGTTTGACAGAGGCCACAGTGTCAAACAAGTAGGGAGATATGGTTTTGGATGCAAAAACTTGGCAAGGAGGAGACAAAAAATTAAAGGAAAAAGCTTGTTTTTTGACTTTGTCAGATTCCTTGGTGTGATTTAAAGAGGGTACTTCAGTGAGCATTTGAGTCCTACTTGCCGGACACGAAGCTCTTTAGAAATTCCCATCTTTCAAAGTGTAAATATTTGTCAGCAATCCTTCACCGCTGTTTGTCTTGGTCTTTATGTTTGGAGGCAGCGCTGTGAATTGGGCAGATGAGTGAGTGTATCATTATTAGGGTTTGAAGGAGAGTGGAGCCTTTGTTTAAATGAAAGGCTAGATACAGATGCTGAAAAGAGCAGCTCAGGCAGTTGGGAATTACACCTGATAAACGCAGATCAGTGCTTCTCTCCAGCTAGTGCTGCTGCTGCTGCCAGAATCAGCGTTGGGAAAGTCACCTGGGTTTGTAGCACTGGAGTGGTTTTTGAGGAGGAGATCTTGATACTGTAAGCCAGCAGAGCCCAAAATTCATAGTTGGTGCCTTTGCATGAGAGGAAGGGCAAGTATAGCAGTGGGGTCTCAAAGTGTGGTGGGTTAGCCCTTGGCTC